TAATAAAATATTCGAAGGCATTAGAATAATCGACTTACCGTTGTTGATGCAATTGTTGATGCAGTTGTTGATGCCATTGTTGTTGATGGTGTTGCCAGGTTTTGGTAATCTTGGTAACTATGTGACCATTCAGGAGGTGTTTTTTCATTTGGCTTTCCATATTTATCTAACAATCCTTCAGCTACCATACGTTTTTTTTGCGACGCTTTTGGTCCCAAACCCCACTTTCTTGGATATGAATCTCTCTCCATGATTACCCTTTTGAGTTTTGCAACTACTCCATGATCACAAGCAGCCATAGTTGGAGAAGACATCAAAGCTATAGCTGATGTATACAAGACAAAAATAAGTATTATTTGAAGACCACAGATGAAGATAAGTATTTTGAAGATTAAATATAAAAATAATAAAATGGACATTAAGTTGAACAGTTTTGGATGAATAGTAGGAGAAGTTAAACAATGTTGAGCTAAACATTACCGTTACTTTGAAAATATATTTACCAATTGCTACAGCTTCACCCTTGGTAGTTACAATTACAATTTCCTCATTCAATTCTATCCCTTGATCGTACATCAAAACGCCTGGTAACATTATTTTAGCTCCATAACAAATTGCATTTACCTAATAAATTTATGCAACATAATACTATTAAATAACAATAGACATTCTTTTTTCAAAAAGTACAATAAGTAGAATACATACAGCGCTGTCCTTTATGATAATTCTCTTGTGATTTATCAGCAGCGATTCCAACGGTCTTATAACTCTTCTTAGATATGATTCATCTCCGTGATTATCATACAGCCATTGGGCATCAAGAATATCCTGCATAGTGACCATACCATCCTGTTCAGACAAAACGCCAGAACGGCTTCTTCGAAGTTCTTGCATGTGACAACCGGTACCTAAGAAGAGTCCAAGATGGACACACATAGTTCTGATATAAGAACCAGCTTCACAACTAACACGGAATACTCCCATATTACGTTCCTGATCATAATCGAGGAACCAACTGTCGTAAACTGTTCTGACGCGGAGCTGTCTCTTGACCGCCGATATCAGCGGCGGCCTTTGGAAGAGAGCACCGCGCAATTTTTCCAAGGCTTGATTCACCTAAATATCATCAGTATTAGTGTGAAATCAATACAAGATGCCTATTTGGATATTGATATACAATAATTATCTTTTGGATAATAAAGAATTAATAAATATTGATATTTTTGATTGTCAGATAGGATCTCATGTCTAATAATTTTTACTAGTTTTGTACATGTATTTAAAAGATATGGGATAAATAACTGCAAATAAATGATCACTTATCATATAGAGACAAGAGACTCAGTGATTATTTGATTCCCAATCATACTATCCATATTTATTTGTATAAATATTTGTTTATTTTGCATTATATTTGATTTATATTTGTTTAAATATTTATTTATTCTATTATCCAAAATCATCTATGTTTACCTTTTGAATACTTTCAGCGGCAGAATGAAGTTTGAATACAGCAACGTATTCCTTCCCGGCAGACTGCTGCGACTTGGCTAGTCTCGTCGCTCTGTCTATGCAGACTATCAAACATCCTGATACTTTGGGATCCAATGTACCAGAATGACCAGTCTTCTCTACCCTTAAGATCTTTTTTATCCAAGCCACTACTTCATGTGATGATGGATTGCATGGCTTGTCCAAATTGATGCAGCCTGATTTTATATACTCCGACAAGCTGCGATTTAGCGGAGTAGAACCACTGATCAATGGAGTAAAATGTTTCGTGCGTGTCAACATTTTATCAAAATTCTGTAATAAGAAACAAGAAATTTGTCTCTCAAATTTTTCAAATTATATTATATAGTTGTCGCAGTTATGTGGTATATAAAGATTTATTGAAACAAACATTACCTTAAACAGCAGAGGCCAGTCTTTACATTCAAGCTTCACCTCTATCTTCGAAGGTTCGATCTCACATTTGGTCGTCAATTGCAGTTCACCAAGCGATTTCTTCTTATCCTTTTTCTTGTTCTTCTCTGTAAGAAAATTGGAAAGTATAACCTAATCTACCTTAACCTCCACTTAATAAATGAAGCAAGCTAATTTTCTCGTGTTATATTCATAGAAATAAATGTAGTGGGCTGCGTTTTTTTGGTCTGTTAACTTGTTTTAATATTTTAAACAGTACTATCATCATAGGTGATCGATGTTGCGCTGAGTGAACACGTGTTCGTCATGGGGTTACTGAATTCATAACAGAAACGACGCGGTCCGGATTAACGCAAATAGGAATCGACGCAATATCTAAAAGAATACTTCGTATAAGAGCGATGTACTTACCTTCTTCCATTTTTAAATTTTGTTAAAACTTGTGTAAAATTCAAATGCCGCCAAATGCTATGAAGCGTACTAAAACTCCAAGAGAAGAGTGGACTTCTGGAGCAATACTTAGAGAACGTGAAGAACAGTGTTCTGAAATCTGAATCCTAGTTCCTAGCGTTCCTAGCATTAGTATAAGAAGGCAGGTGTACCAATAGGTCTGTTCACATTGCTTAAAATCCCTAAAAATTTTTTAATTAAATGGGTGCATTCAGAACGACAACCGCTCACTAAGCACTTAGTATGCTCTTTCATTTGATTGGTTTATATTTTAGGATCTATACTGAGCGCTCAATGAACTCTTTCATTTAGGATATGGAATATGCCAATCAGATGAAAGAGTTCATTGAGCACTCAATAAGCGGTTGACGTTCTAAATGCACTCAATGAGATAGATGATAGATTATACACTTATCTATATTAGTTGCAAGTCGATTTCAAGTTTGTTGCGACAGCCAATCTGAAGCTTGCATTTTGAAATCAACGCTTCATATTGGCTGCAGCAACAAACTTGCGATCGGCTTGCAACTAATATAGAACCGAAATTATCGTATCAGCTGATCACCATATCAGTAGTATGTCATTGACTCTGCGCATAATGTATGTAGGAGATTGATTAGGATTGACAAATATGTGTAAAACAGATGTGACAAAAGACTGAAGAAAGTAAAGGATAAAGCGAAATTAAAAAATGCATCCGTACTGGATTTTCTGCCGCAGGAGAGACACGAGAAAGTATATACTCTTATACTACTACAGTCGCTTCGTTTGTTTAACGCATCAGATGAATTAAGATAATTAACATTGTTACTCTCTCCGCAGTCCCAACTAACAATAACAGTTTGTCATGGGTGAGCGAAACGTCAAACTAATTTGCTCCCTTTCCAGTACGACAATCATGCGCCCCTGTAAAACTTATTTTATTCGTCGCGAAAGTTTATTTTAATATAGCTGATGTAGCAAGCAGACTTGAGTTATTTCGGGCCTGCGTCCATTGCTGATGCTTAATCTCAGCTTCATTGACTGATTCCCACCTATCTTGATATTGAAAGTTACTTTCTGGCTTCAGCGCCTTCCAGGGCACTCTATTAATTTTACATTTCAAACATGAATTCAGATCCTGTAGAGATGGCGAACGAAGTCAAAAACAAAGTTATACTGCACTGGAACTGTCGGGGTCTCATGGAGTTTCCGGAGGTAATAAGACTGTACGGCAGTCACATTCAGGAGATATATCTGAAGTGGAACAAGCTAACCACTCTACCACCATGGATCACGGAGCTGTTCAACGTGACCAACTTGTACATGTATGGCAATCGGATTGAACAGTTGCCTGTGGAACTTGGCGGAATGAGTCAGTTGACGGTGCTGGATTTAAGTGCCAACAGATTAGACCTGATATCTACCTGCATCGGCAATCTAAGCAATCTGAAATCTTTATTTTTGAACGATAATTTTATAGAGAGATTACCAATTGGTAAGTTCAAGACTATTAGATTGTTGTGCACAAAGGGGAAAAAGATTTATTGACTCACATGAACGAAACAACAACAGAATTGAGCCAACTGAATAATCTGGAAATACTGTCTGTCTCGGGTAATCAGATTGTTGCGCTGCCAGAGTGGATCGGTTCTCTTCCAAGACTTCGAGAGCTGTATGTGGATAACAATCAACTGAGGGAATTACCTAACAGATTGACCATAGCTCCTGAACTTACCATGATCTCCGTGTGTTCAAACAGGTTGCTATTTCTATTAATATTTTGCGAATAAATATTCTGATTATTAAATCAAATTATAAAGTCTGATATTCCACAGTTCGTTTCTAATTTTAAGATCATCTTCAATATAGTCTTAAAATGTCATAAGCCAATTACAGCCGGTATTCACAATTGCAATTATTATGTCTAAGATATATTGACTGTATCTTAAATACAGTCTTAAAGTATCATGAATCAATCAGAGAACTGCATTAACATTTTAAAACATTGCGCTCTTTGCTCTGATGAAGTAAACTGGAAAAGTAATTCACGAAATGTAGTAATAATGAATCACGACACGGCGATAATTCGCAAAACCTTTTGGCACAGCTTAAGACTACCTAAGACGCTCTTAAAATAACAACGGATTATGAATACGAGCCTAAATTTCACATAGATTAATCGAGCTACAATTTCGAGTTTTGTATTCCAACAAATGTTTTTGCAGGTTGAAATATTTGCCACTGAATGGATTTCTATCGGCTCCCTGTATACGATTCGATGCAAACGAATACTTAAATTATGTGTCGTATCCACTTCTACTTCAATTACTTTCGCAACTACGCACGACAGTTGTTCGCGATAGAGAATATTTGGCATTCGGGTAAGTAGTAGCACATCAGAGTGTCAAATAGGAATAAATTATGCGCGAATAAAAAATAAATCCTGACAACTGTTATTTTACTTTTGAAGTCTATATATAAAGTAAATTTACAATCTATGTATATATGTATATATAATCACAGATGTTTTAAGACGCATTATGACACAAATGTGTTAAACAAAAATATAAAATTGTACATAAAAATGAAGAGACTGCATGAAATAGATGCCGATGTTATAATTGAGTTACCACGGCAAATGCTAAAAATTCACGAGGTTCACGAAAACGTGATTTGTTCCCTGTGGGAATTAGCGCTAAGGAAAGTTTATACCGAAAGGTAATTGAGGAATTTTATAAACAAGAATTTCTTTATAGTCTTTTGCAAAAATATAAGTATCTCGCAGATTTAACGCAAATACATTTTAGATATAAGCACACGCTCGACGTTTCTCCCGCAAATGTAACAATACTCTACAAACCACTTAAGAATACTAAACTGGACTTCACACTGTCTACGAGTTATACTTCATACAATTTATTAACAAACGGACCCACTGGTATCTGTATAAATTCTCAATGCCAGCAACCAATATTCACAGAAGCTTGGATCATTATCGGTATCAACCGCTATGCAGAATCTATGATAACGATCATTTTATGTTGTAGTAGAAGGTAACATACAAAATAATCATGTAGTACCTGAGTATATCAGTTAGTGAATTTTTTTAAATTTGCAGTTGCGCCACTGCATTCGCTGCACACTCAAGTATGACTATTAATCTTCATTGGCACTCCATCAATTGATGAATCCTAACTAGGTATTTAATCCACTTTTGTATACAAAGTGTTAGAAAAATAAAGGATTCTTATGCAATCGACTGAAATCTTGTGTCAATAAGTTTTTAAATTAAATATCTAATTTATTGTAATTTATTTTGCAGCATCGCGGCTATCAAGAGCGATTCTTCAATAATGCCCAGTAGGAGTTCCAGTTCCATAACATAACGATGAATTAAATGAAATTATTATATGTCATATTCAATGTAACACTTCAGGTATTCAAGACTAGCCTCACTGATAACATTATCTTTCTTTTTATTAAAATATATGTTTATGACTTGATGTATCTTCCATGCATTATATAAAAATTCCGATTCGTTATGTTTTTTCGCACTAAAATCGAGTCGCAACAAAAAATATTCTAAATTTTTTCCTGGATGGCGAGTCAATTGTCTACTCAAGCGATCAGAAGATCTAATGCCTTGTCACGATCAAAGTTACACTTTACTAATGCCGCGGAAGCTTCGTCTTCGGGAAATCCTAGATCCTTCAACGTGCATAAATTTTCATAGTACATCTTTGCTTTGGATTGATCGTGCTGCGCGAGCGTCAGCGCTGTCTCGGCATAGTCACTCGGGACGCCAGTCTCTTCTAAGGATTGGACGGCTAATAAATATTCCACGATCTTCTTCTCGTGCATTCTACCTAGTTCCAGTACCGCGCGCGCCGCTCTGCATTTGGGAAATCCCATGTCACTCAATTGCATGATCAACTTTAGATCATCCTCCGTCATGCCTGATAACAAGTCTGCTAGCGATTTTGCGTGATTCGACGACATTACGTTGTCGTATCTTGGGACTACATGCGCGTCGCTATCTGGACTCTCCAAATCGGGCCACGGCTTCCAATTCTGTTGCAAGGAGAGATTAATATAATTAATTGTATTTACACTATAGAGAGAGAAAAAGAAGTATTACCTCCATAACAGGCCGTTCTAATTCTTTTTGAAGTTCCTGCATTATTGTCGAAACGCTACGATGATTTTCGATGCTATGTGTATCTTTGTCGGCTTCGTCATCGACATGACTCTCCGTATCGGCTTCTTCCTCCTTGCAAATCTCGGATGTATCATCAATCGTTAGTTCATTTATAATGTTCTCCAATTTTCCTGCAGGCATCCATTGCGACCGAGGTTGTAAAACCTACATTTAAAAGATATTAAACGTTACAACAAGAATCATCTACTGCATCTGCAATCATCTGCAATGCTGTTCAAGAGTTTTAGAGACTAAAACATTTCATTAACCTGTGCTAATTCTTCCATGTCATTGATAGTTTTCAATTCCATATTATCAAAGGGACTGCTCGTGTCATTATCGAAGTCGGCAAAGTCCAAACCCCCATTGATTTTTACATGATCTTGAAAGTCATTTGCTGGAGGTGACAGTGGCTGTGGCGTGAGTATTGTCGTTTCTGGAGCGGGTGGCGCATTAATAGGTAGCTGCTTTACGCAATCCAATGGTGGAGGCGATGGAGGAGTCTCCTCTCTCTCTTTCTTCTTCTTCTCTTTCAGCCGAGCTTGACGTGCCTTGCTGTAGGCCTGTCTAACTTTGCGCCATTCGCTCATCTGATTACAAATTAATTAATTTATGATAATTACCAAGTCACGAAATTATTGGCATACATTACATAGAACATTAAGATAGTTAAATAATTATGTCCCCTACCTTTTCAAGTACCGATTTTTCTAAGCTGAAGTCGTACGTTAACTTCGATATATCCGGCAATCGGTTGTTATACGCGACAGGTAAGCCAATCTTCCTTGGTGGTTTATAGGCTTCTGCGATTTTTACATGAACCCCGTCCATGTAAGACGCCACCAAGTCGCATTGCGCTGACACGGACGATCGAGCCATTGATTCCTATACGAAGGAAAGCGCCACGAAATAACACGCGACTTGCAACGGAGTTCGTCGCCTTAATCGCCGATGTACGGAGCATAACCTATTTTCCGTTGTAATAAATATCATTTAATCGCTCGTGTCATATGCCACCGATACATCTCGCGCGTATGTAATTGCGGTTTAATTAAATGTTAAATTCTCTTTCTCTTTTTCTTTCGTTTTTTTGTAGTTTGAAAATCTGAAGTATCTCTTTAATGGTCGAAATGACGAAACAACACTTCTCTATTTGACACTTGACAGATTAAATTCACTTCTCGTCCGTTCGCGTCGTCGTCGTCTTTGTGAAAATATCGATGTCAAACGCTAGCAAGATTTTTAGATATCGATATTCGATACTATCAACTGTTAATACTGTTTGACTTGAATTTGTACCTGATTTAATTATTATCTGCAAACATCAATATTTATCTGAAACCTCTCTTTTTCTTATTATATTGTTAACAATTGATATTTTGCATTTATAAAAATATTTAACAAATAAATTCAAAAAACGTTTAATATTGTATAATTTTAAATAAATTATTTGTTAAAGTTATAAAAAAATAATGTAATAGAAAATTTTATTTATTAATAATTATTTCCCAAATTATTAATAAAATACTAAATATTATTATAAGACATTATTAATAATGTTATATATCAGCACGTTGCGATTGATAGCTTGCATTTCTGAAGTCTGAAGATCCCTGAATACTATACAGGGTGTCTGTTAAGTAAGGTTGGAGCCGTATTGGGGGCGTAGAATGAGTCAAGGGGAACAAAAAAGTTTTATACCATTTTGAAATTTTCGCAATAGTTAAAAGATATTAATTATTAAAAATGACCGAATATTGGTCTTTAATCATTTTTTTCTCAAATACTATCAACTTTTCAGAAAAACTGTAAGAGACAAAAATTGTTTATTTTCTTTTCATAAAGATCTAAGAATTTTTTCAGAATTTTTTACTATTTTTTCATGATAATAAAAATAAGAAAATGCAGTACTAAAAAATTGATAAAAAATTCTTAAAAAATTCTTAGAGTTCTATGAGAAGAAAATAAACAATTTTTATCTCTTGTTATCTCAAACTATCTCTCTCTCTCTCTCTCTCTCTCTCTCTCTCTCTCTCTCTCTCCCCCTCCCTC